TAAATGTTCAATAAAAAAAAGCTAAACATTATAAAAAGAAACTCAATTAATAAATATTTAAACATCACATAAAATGACGTCATCATTTAGATCATTAAAAAGTATTAATAGACCATTGTTACACTTTAAGAAGAAAAGAAGACTGCTCACACATTTGACTATAAGAAAAATACTGTTAGCGCAGTTACCGTAGAACTCACATATACTATATAAGTTAACAGATAACTTTGTATAAATAATTCTTTTTGAATGATGAAATATATTTTAAAGTCTATGACAAGATTTATTTGCTTATTAATAGTGATGAACTTTACTGACAAAATATCTAAATGCTACTTTCTAAAATCATTTTCGATATGATCAAATTGTATGAATTCTTTGGAATATCTGCAACTAAATACAACGTTGATTAGTTTATGATAAAGAATTCATTTTCATAAAGATAGAAATGCTATTGTTTTTATGGGAAAGCAATATAAGTTCACCTCCTCGTTTTCTTTCTTGGAATATGCTTACGAGCCTCTGCAAAACTCTCATGATATGCAAACTAAATAATTTTCGTACCTCGTCTGGACGTGATATATTGGGATATTTTCCTGAGACCAGTGCTGAAGATTAAGTTCATATTCGAGTGTCCGGTAATCGACCGAATTATGGAATCCATCAGTCACTTATTGGGTTAAACCCTAACAAGTTTTAGGTATCGACAAAACAACTAGTGATGGTCTTACTAATTGTTATAGCAACATGGGAGAATCGTACAATCCTTTAATCGCAAGCTTCATAGCAAAATTAGTCGGAACCAATAACAGAAATGCCAACAAAGCATCGATACATGAAATGTATTGTTGCTTACCGAGAAAGTTCCGATTTGAAATGAATCAATGACAGAAAATGAATAAAGTAAAAGGTAATTATACTGATGTTTCTTCTGAATTGAAGCAGTTACAGACAGATGTGGAAATACTAACTACAATAAGAAAAAAAAAACATTTCCTCACTATTACACTTTCCTCGACTCGTCTATTTATATATATTTTTGCTTCATTAAACTTCAACTAGTGAATGAATAGATCAACAGATTTTTTTTGTTTAAAGAGAAGGAATCTCTTTATAAACTTCGTCATACGCTTATCTAACAACCTTAATGACTGGCACCAAAATTGTCGCTTCAAAACAACACTTCTCTCTAGATACAGCTGAAATGTATGATATCCAATTTAGTCTGTCTCGAGATAACGCAGTTACCCATTTCTGACCTTCGAATTCTCATAACTTAGCAATTTGATATGATGAAGAACTGAATCTTACACTGTTGCAACATGCATGAAAAATCTAGTTTCACTATAATTTTTATTCCATTTGGTTGAATTTTGACGGTTTAACAAAAATAGAGAGTCGTGGTAACGCACTCATCCGAAACGACACCTTTCATTCAACTTATTAAAAAAAAAAATTTCGCATTCTTAAAAATTCTTTCACTCCCAATAAAAAAATATTTTCATTTTTTCAAAATGAAATACTCGTGTTTGAAATATGATAAAAGATAGAAAGATCAACTTTCCAAAAAAACTGTTTGATTTTGGCTGACAAGTACCATTTACTTTCATTATTATTCAAAAAACAATCATATCTGTCGATGTAGACTATATAAAAACCTTAAAAGAATATTTCGAATAAGTTCGATCATTGTGTGTTTGAGAATTCTTCGGCTTAGCTTTAGTTAAGTCTAGGTCTTTTTAACTAAATAGACTTCATGAATTCTATGGTTACCGACAAAAGATACTCATACATGCAATAGAGTGATTTTACACCATGCATATTTTCGTTTCTTGACGCAAGAGTCTAACATGAGGCGTAAAAATATGATAATGTTAAATGCTTCTATTGTTTGGCATTTGCTTGTTCGCAAATATATCGAAAAAACAATATGCATACATTAGTTTCATGCGGTAATAAAGTTTATGATACAAATATGTATTGATCGTTATCAAAAGATTGATAAGATAAAATCAATGCATTCGGCTGTACATTGAACACTTAGAAAGACACAGACATCCTTATACTTGTCTAAACAGATAAAAATCAATCGAATGAACATAATGTCTCGCATGTTATCTATTTCATCTTTCTCTATTTATTTTTATTTTTGTAATAAACACTAAAAGAATTTGGTATACTCTGTTCTTTTTATTATTTATTTTCAACGGCAAACATCCAGCATCGAACAAAACAACAAAAGAAAAACATCATATTTAATTTGATAAGGTTTTTTGTTTTGATATGATGTTAGAATATTGTTGACATCTAATTAGTTTTGCCGGCGAGCCGTCGATCACGTTCTTCTGCAACACTTAAACGTAAACCTTTGCCAGCTGGTAATGAGACCCAAGATTTTTGACCTTTACCAATGACAAATACATAAGCCAAACTAAAAAAAAAAAGACAAAAAACAATACTTCATATTATAAAAAAATTTAATCTTTACCGAGTAGCAAATGAATGTCCATTAGCATCTTTAACATGAACAATATCAAATGAACCTGGATGACGTTCACGTGATTGAATAATACCAACACGACCTAAGTTGTGTCCACCAGTAATCATTACAATGTTACCTAAATAAGAAAAACAAAAAACCAAATTTTCCTACAAAAAAAGAGATTTTTTTAACCAAAATACCTGTATCAAATTTGATATGATCTTGAATTTTTCCCGTAGCAATATCAATTCGTACAGTATCATTTGCTTTAATATGTGGATCCGGATAACGAATTGTTCGTGCATCATGTGTAATTAAATATGGTACTTTCTTTGGACCCATACATAATGATTTAACTTTGCATAATTTATACTAAATAAATATATACAGTTCAAAAAATTTGCTTTATCTCTCATATACTAGAAATATAATGAATACAAAAACAGTTTCAAGATATGTAAATATGTGTTCGTAATAGTTTCCTTTGTTTTATTTCAGATATGTAAGAGGAAATAAAAATAGGTTTCATTCAACTAGAGATAGAGAATTCTATACATTCACATATTTGCTTCAGATTTCAATATGACGAGTTAGAGGCCTACATAATAAAGGTAAGGTAAGGCGTCTAAAATTCAGACTTTGCGGAAAAACTTTTTGATCATGGTTAAATAGAGCTCGTCGAGCTACCTATAGCATTAGTGTTTTTAACATACTTAGAAGATGTTTTTATAGAGAAAATTAAACTAAAATAAAATCCGAAAAGTCTATAAAAATTGAAATAAGTCGAAGATATCAAATCTTAGTAGCATCAATGTTTATCTGAATTTTATTTTTATTTTGTTATGATCAAAAAAACTGACTGCATCGATATGACAGCAAAATGTAATAAAAACGAATTTGTATTCTAGAACTTTCATACTCGAAACTTCAGTTCTCTAAAAAAAACAATTATCACATTTAGAATCAGCAAAAACATCTTCATCGAATAGTATACTCACAAATTAAAAATTAATTATTCGTCAAATTTCGACCTTAGATAAAGCACAGATCAGAGCATTTGAAAAGAACAGTAAGAATTTGTACGAATCGAACTGTGATGAAAAATAGTTTTAAATATTGAGTATACTATTTGATGTAGATTTTTACGATGATTTTGAATATGAAATTGGTTTCTTTTGGAATTGAAGTTTTGAGGATCAGAATCTTAGAACACAAACGCGGATTTAAGATGTTTTTCTATCATATTGAAAAACTCAATTTTCTCAACAACAAAATTTGAATAAATATTGCCACTACAAGACTTGATACTTGTAACATGTTTCAATTTTTATAGGCTTTTCTAATTTTATTTTAGCCTAAATTTTCACTACAAACATATCGTCTACATATGTCAAAAAAAGTTGGTTTTTTTTTATAATTGTTTTAATACATTTTCAAATATTTTATTTGCTTTTATTCTCAAAATTTCTCTGATTATACTTTCATACATTCTCTAAATCCATAGGAAACTTCAAAACTATTACATCATATGTATATGTCGTTAAATAGTGCACATTTCTTATTCAAACCTGTATGTCGATCATCTTATACAATACTTACTTTAGCTTCTTCAGGTGTTATACGATGAACACAAAATCGACCTTTAACGTCATAAATCAAACGAAAATGTTCGCCTGTTTTTTCAATTGTAATAACATCTAGTTAAAACAAAAAATATACTTTTTATCTTCAAAAATAAATATTCATTTTTTTTTTCTTCGTATAACAAACCCATAAAACCAGCAGGAAAAAGAAAATCTGTTCGTACGCGTCCATCAATTTGAATAAGACGTTGTTTACAAATTTTTCTAGCTTCACAATATGTTAAAGCGTATTTCAATCGATTACGTAAAAATATAATCAATGGTAAACATTCACGTGTTTTATGTGGACCAGATGATGGTTTTGGTGCAAAAACGCCACCCAATTTATCAAGCATCCAATGTTTAGGTGCATGAAGTCGTTTTAAATGTTTACGAATACCACGATACTAAAATATATATAAAAGACAGACTTATTTTTAAAAATCGATTAATTCATTAATCTTACACCCATATTTTTTTCTTGTTGTTGTTAATAAAGATCAAGATCTTTCTTACGATCTGAAAAAAAATTCAAAGCAAAGTAAAAACATGGAAAATCAGTATTTTATGTAAAAAATTCGAGTAGAATATATAAACCAATCAACGATGGTTGAATTAAACCAAACATTGTTCAATTAATTTGTTGGTTTTTTTAAATATTATATTAAATAAAAATATTCTATTAAAATAATTCAAATAAAGTAATAATAAATTTCATTATGATTAATATTATTATTTTCTTTTTGCAAATGTATAAATGTGTTATATAGGTTAATATGGAGGTTAGAATGAATAAAAAGTCAATATGGTTCGTTTTGTTCTTTCCTTTCACTTTCTTTCGAATTGATATTGATTAAATGTACATATATACACACACGTATATATATATGAAATAGATGTCTGGAGGTGGTAAGTTACCTAAATTTTAACTGTTGTGTCTATTGCTAGATTTATTTTCTAGTTGAATTGGATCTTGTTTGTGGAGAAAGTGATGCAGATGAATTTTCATCATCATCAAGTATGTATATGACGTCATAAAATTCAATATAAATTAATAGAATAACTGATTAATATTGTAATTGATTAGTTTTTCATGACCATTCTGTTTATGAAGAAATTTTTAAGGAGTGATAAACTTATTAAAAGTTGATGCAAACTGTAACTTTTATGAATCATTCAACATAATAAAATCTTTGAAAACATATTTGATAATGAAAAGTATTGGATTTCCAATATGAAACTTTTTGATTCTTTCTAATAAAACAAAAGATCATTTATACTAGAGTTTTGGTTTTTTTTTTTGTGCTTATTGGAACTAGTAAATTGAGATCTTATATTTCGTTTTTTAAATGTTTCTTAGTGACGTGACAATTGTTAATGTATATATTTCGTTATGTAATCGAAATTGCGTTTGTATGAAGCGAGCGAGGCGAGGAATGTGTATACTTATTAATAATCTATACTGTCCATCTCAATATGAACATGAAAAAATTTTGTTTTATTAAATATGATAACGATCTCATGATTTTTCTCTTTCTACTCTTTTTTTTTTTTCGTTGGCAATGTCCGATCTATTGCAGAAGTTTAAACTACAATGAAATATTTTCATTGTTAAAGTGAAATGTATTAAGAGAAAAGTTATTTGTTATTGTATTACATTCTAACTTGTTGCTATAGAAAACTTATTGAAGTGTTCACTTGAAACTAATCATTACGTAAATAAATTATAGAATATAAAGTTCAAAAAGTATAATGATTATTTAATTTATATTCAATTCAAATATTGATAAAAGATAAAAAAAAAAGAAGGTTCTGATATAATCGCGTCTTTTTAATAAATATATTTCATAATGTAGTTATGATTTTTATTTTAACTTTTAGAATCCAAACAAACTCGAAATGTATTCATTGAAGAAGACCAAGTAAGAAACGAAGAAAAGAAAACAAGACGCTTATATAACCGTCTACATAATGTATTGATTTTTTTTCATTAGGTATTTGCAAATAATGATGATGACGGTGGTGGTGGTGGTGATGATGATGATGATATAGCAATAATAGAACCAACAAATTCTAAAACACTAGATGAAAATCTTATAACTCAAACATCAATTGAAAATGATTATTCAAATACCATTGAAACTATTTCCATTTATAATACGACAGACAATACTAATCATAATGGTAAACGTCGAAAAACTGAAAGTATTTCTTCCTCTTCATCTTCTGTCAGTGCAACGAATTCTAGTAACAGCAGCAGCAGCAGCAGCAACGGTTCCAATCTTCAGTCTATCCACGGTAGTTGCTCCTTGACATAGATAATAGATATTCATTCACTAATATTAATGACAAAACTTGTTTTTATTCATTAACAAAAAAAAAAAAAAAAAAAACATTGCGTATGAATGAATTAATTTTCTTTTCAGAAATAGATATTAATGAAGAACTCATTCAAGATGAATCAGCTTCTATTCAAATGGAACTTTCAAGTGATAGAATAAAACAAGGAAATGATTCTAATGGAAATGAACAACGTAAACCAACAAATATACCAACATTAATGATAACAGTGAAAAATGAAATGGCTCAATCAATTCGTGAACAAGCAATTCCAACAACTGGTAAAATAAAACATAAATGAGAATTTATTGAACATAAAGAGAAAAAACTAAATTTTCTTTGATTGGATAGCTAATTGAAAAATACTATGCATCAAATCAATTTCTATTTCGATAGATTTACTTTTCTTTTTGTATACAAGAAAATCATAGCAAGAAATAATTAACATTTACTTAACCTTTTGACTATTGCCGACACATATGTGTGTGATGAACTTTATTAGTGGCTAAAATGAATACAATCAATTGTAGTGCAGTTTGTTTTAGAAACGCCTGCATAAAAATAAACACTAGGCAGCTGAAGTTGGTAATACCATCATTTCATCATCGTATGTCCTACAGTCGTGCCATAAGAAAAAAAAGATTGAATAAGAAACAGTCAGTTCACTGTACATATGTTTATCTTTTGTTCTCTGTCTTTTTATTCAAAATTCATTGTTAATTGTGCTTCCAAGAAATCCTATATTAGCAAATGATTAAGTGTTCGTCCATTGTAACTGATGGCTAGACTCCTTCAAGAAGTTGTTGTGTTCGAAGTAGTATAGAACGACGTGCGAAAGAATGAAGCGGTATGAGCTACCAATGTATCGAATAAATGTATAAATTTGAATAAAAAATGAATAGTTGTAATGATTTTCTACAGAATTTTTTCTCTTACTTATGCGTCAATAGTTGAAGAGTTAAGAACAGTGTATTGATCTTTGGATTTAGCAGATAGAATATGAAAGTAGGAAGAGTTATTTTTATCTTCTAATGAATTTTCAGTCATCTAAATCCAGAATACAATTTATTTATAATTGTTTTAGATTCTACAGAAACTGCTACACTTCGACATATTTTCAGTGATGCTGCTTATTTTTTAATTAAAAGTGTTAATGAAGAAAATATTGTATTGGCTAAAGCTAAAGTAAAATGTAGATTAATATATGTATATATGATATATATTTGAATTTTAAAGGGTGTATGGTCAACGCCACCAGCAAATGAACATAAATTAAATCGAGCTTTTCGAGTAAATATATATATATATATATAAGAGAAAATATTTCTTATATTTGTTTTATTTAGGATCATCGAAATGTAATTTTAATTTTTTCTGTAGCCGAAAGTAAAGCATTTCAAGGTTTTGCTCGTATGTCATGTGAAGCTCGTCATGATAATCAACCTGTTAATTGGATATTACCACCTGGCATGAGTAATCGTGTTTTTTCAGGTGTTATTTACATTGATTGGATAACTTGGTATGTAATTATATATTATTTTATTTGAAAATATATATTATCTATTTTAAATTTCATTTAATATATATTTTATTTTTTTTAGTCGAAGTTTACCATTTAGTAAAACATCACATTTGTTCAATTCATGGAATGAGAATAAACCGGTTAAAATAGGACGTGATGGTCAGGTAGTAGAGTTCGATTATGATAACGAGGGAAGAATTCTCAACTGATAAATTACTTTTGAATCGAGATTATGTGTATTATTTACATTCAAATGAACTATGAATACTCTGAAAAGAGTTCGTGTCCTTAGCCTATAGCAACATTTGTATAGTATCTTTTGAATGAACATTGTAGTTCTACTGAGAAAAGCAGAAAACTCGATTTCCGAATTTCAACATTCCATACTCTCCATAAAAAGAGGTGTCATACTGAACCTTTTTCGGTAAAATTTTCAGAACCTTTTTTCCAGCTCTGAACATATTCTTCAGAACTGAAAAACGTCTAGTCGGAAAGCCTGAACATTTTTTGGAATTTGTACTTATTGGCTAGAAATCCAAAAAAAGATTCAGAACATTATACCCCAATCCAGAACCTTAAAAAAGTTCGGAATCTTCACCAAAACCTTAAAAGGTTGAGTATCACACCATTTTTTTTAGAGAATAGAAAAATCCTTAAGGAGAACAGTTTATTAGGAATGTTTCATCTCTTGTTGCTATTCCTATCTTAAGATGCAGCCATGGTAGAAGCGTATCTTTTACAGCACTCATAAACACTGACAGATTTTGGTTTTTAATTCAGGATAGAAACACATCAAAAGACCTGAAACTTTCACAATAAACTACTTCTGTTAAGGATATTTTTCTATTTTTGGCCATTCCTAGTTCTGGAACTGATGATTTAAACAAGCTTTTCGCAGTTTTTTTTTCAGGAGAACCCTGATTTCTATAGAACCGCTTACAACCACCGACTAATATTGTCTGATTGGCCTGAAAATTCTTTTAGAGGTACTTTAGACTGTATTTTATAGATGATTTGCAACTTTTTCAAACGTCTAACTGTCTTTTTTTTATGAGATAAATATGTAAAGGTTTGGTTTCAAACTCTGGATGCCTGCAATCATGGCTCAATAAACCTAGAGAGAAAGATAAAAAATAAACACGATCAATTTCACATCTAAAGAATATTTTCGAGCATCCGTGGTCAAATTTTCAGCTCGATTGGAGAACATTAGACACCGGGAGTAAGCAGACTCAATGTGATCCTATGGAAAATTCAAGTTCTCCTAGAAAAACTACGACAACCTTATATAAAATCTTTCCCTCGAACACATATCTTCCTGTTTTAGGTGCTTCATCTGTGTTGAAAAATCATGAGAGTCATCATAATGCACATAATCTTATCTCTAAAGACAGTTATCGGTGGAAGAACTTCTGACGTAGAATTTATTTTTTATATACTCATTTTAATATTTCAAGGAAATTGAGCCACGTTGTGCTGAAGCATTATGTCGTTTATTTCCATCCGATCCAACCATTGATATTATGTCAATAGCAACGAAAGCTAAAAATAATAAAAAACGATATTCATCTCGATCGCAATCACGTTCACCATTATCGATAAATGTTTCTTCATCATTACCAATGGAAACTTCATCATCATCATCGATAATAATTAAACGTCAAACATCAAAAGATCATAATCGTCATCTATTACCAAATAATAATAATAATAATAATAATAATAAACAACGACCAACATCATCAGATTTTTCATATCGTCACTCATCAAATCATCATCATCCTCGATTACCTTCAAATCATATGCCTCATAGGTCAGACGTGACTCTTTATTTAATAATTATTCGTCTCACGAATTTGGCTATCATATCCTCTACTAATCTTATTCACTTCAGAACTTTTAAAAAAGGTGTTGGTTGATAGAGGTATTCTTTCTTTTTTTCGAACACCATTGGTCACATAAATCTAATATGCAAATATTATGATGCGTATATACAATATGAAGCCGGCTTTATGAACTTTGAAAAAAAGCTGAAAGCAAAGCATTTTACCTACCTATTCAACGAAGAACTTTTATGAATATTTTAAAAAGGACTATGTCTGTTCAACAGACTATTATATATATATATTGTTATTTTTTATAAGCAAAAAAAAATAACAACAAACACTACTATCACCTGCTCCCAACCCATTTTATTAACAAAAAAGTTGATTCTCTGTTTATCTTGAGAATTAGATTAGATGATCACATGGAAAAAGGAAAATGAGTTGTTTTTTTATGCATGCATAGACAAAAAAAATAATCAAACGAGATAAATCATAGAAAAAACAGAGATGGTTTGTTATGTCGTTTTTTTTTTTTGTTAATCTTAATTTAGACATCAACAATCAAAAAGTCGAGAACGTGAAACTAAAGATTTATCGCGAAAACGACGACGACGATCAAGTATGTTTTATTTTCTACTCATTTTATATAAGATAAAAAGAAAAAAAAAATGGAACATTGAGTTCTATCCTATTATTTGATAAGACTTGAAATTCCTTTTCATCAGTTCTTGATCGTATTCTAAAAATTTTTCAATTAATTACTATATGAACTTTATCACATATAATCTTTTGTGTACTAGGATCATCACACTCCGATCATGGTGGTAAAAGTAGTTCAAGTCGAAAACATTCACATCATAATAATGGCGATCAAACATCATACAATAGCAATAATAAAACGATGAACAAGATTATCAGTAGTGGAGTAATATAAAAATTAAAAATATTTCGTTTTCTATGATTATTATATATTCATGTAATCTATTATTCTGTAGACATATGAAGACTATATGAATCATTTAGTTGCAACTCATGCACAATATGCAGGATTTGGTGCAGCTATGTTTCCACCTGGAGTAAGTCTCATTTATAGTAATACGAATTTTTTTTATATTTTCGTTTTGAAGTTTTTATTTTGATTATGAAATCAGCGATCGATATATATATATATATCCCTTTCCGACCGGATGTTGTTATATGGCAACATTTTCCCCTATAGGGGAGAGGTACGGCATCTTTCAAATAGCCGGCCGGAAAGGCATATATAAATCATTTGAATGTCTCTCTATGAAAATTTATAACTTTCATCTCGGTCTAGCGAACTGCAAAATAGTCCAGTTCGCACAGTTCCCTATATCGATCTCATTTTCAAAGAAGAAGTAAATTATGAATGAAATTTTTCATTGAAAATGATGACCATTGATTTCCGAGTTTTGAAAAAAAAAGAAAATTCTACTATACTATAGTATGAACAACGAATCTGTCAAACTTATTGACGATCTGTACATTCATAGGAAATCAATTTATATTCGAAATGAGTTTCAATCTCAAATTCATTCACGAGGAAATCATCCAAAGTGATATCCACCGTTTGAGTTTGTACACATCACACAAAGTGGTCTCGCTGATAAACAAACAAAACCTGAATGGGTGGGTTCCTCTCAAGAGAAAAAAGCGTGATTTCAGTAAATCGAAGTAGTGAAATTGAGGAATTTCCACATGAAACTTTACTAACATAAAAAAAGCGAAACTTTGATGTTCCTTTGTCGAGATATTGAATTTCTCAAAATTTAATCGCTTACTATTGGCATCATACAAAAATCGAGTTTAATTGAAAACGCAATATCACGACGAAACAAATTTTTTTTTCAACTGAAACGTGCAGAATATTCTATGGATCATTACACCTATCTAAGAAAAAAATTTTATATTGAATTGCTTTGTTTTTGATTTTCAAGTATTTATCTAGAACTAAGGCGAAAATTCACTAAAACCATTCTAACACAGTTCTAAAACTCTATACGAAAAAACCACTTTAGATTTTACTTAGTCTCTCCAAGATGCCCTTATAGGCTCAAACAGCGGATATCAGTTCAAGTAATTTCGTCAGCAATTATATTTATATTTATTTTCTTAGGGCTATCCTATGGCTTATGATCCAACTGCTTTTTATCCAATGGCATATGATCATCGTGGTATGCCAGTATCGATGCATACTGGAGGTTATGAAGTACCAGCGGATATGTATTATCCTCAAGCGCCATCTTCGGTACCATCTCGCTCTCGAAATTTAACTGATGTAAATGAAAATCTTCTTGTAAGAAAACAATATACCGTGTTTTTTCTACTTAGTATGAACAAGAAATAAATGCATTTCTTCGTCATACAACAGCATCATCTGCTTATCCAAATAATGATAAGAATTTAAAACCTCATCGAAGCCATCGTCATCATCGAGATGAAGATAACTATCATCATAAACCTTCATCCCGACATCGTTCAAAATCACGTGAACATCGTCATTAATTTAAAGAAAAAAAATTTCTTTTTTTCTATTCTGTTTCTGTTTTTCTTTTTGTCAACAATTTGAACAATTCTTTTTTTTTTCTTTCTTTTTTTTTCGTGTGCTCTCTTTTATACATTCACTTTGTTTCTTTTTTTTTCTGTCTTATTGTATGCAAAAACAAAAAAAGAGAAAAACACTTGTTTTCATTAGTTATTTCTTTGCTTGTATGTATAACGAAGAGAGATGGTTAATTCTTTGTGTGTGTGTATTTGGTTTATGATCTCTTTCTCACATGTTGTTTTTATGTATTCATTCACATTGCACATTCAGTTTATTCTGTGATACATGGAAGAAAACGAATTTAGTTTGTTGCTTTTATTTCGTCATCTATACGAAACGTATATGTGTGTGTATATATATATCTATAAACAAGAGTAAAAAGATAAATCGATTTTTTTTTTGTCTAACTGAAACGAGAAAAAAATCAAACACGATGGATTTATTATTTCGTCGTTTTAATTTGTTTTGGAACAGTTAAACTTATTGATTGTGTTTGATTGATACGAGTTGATTTAATATTTTCCGATACTTTTTATATGATTTATTGGTTTTATATTCGAAATTGAATTATTTTAATGATCAAATAATTCAAGTAGATTTGTATATATTCGTGATCGTTTAATAGAAAATAGGATTAATAGAATACTAACAAGACTAATACCAATAGAAGTCATTTGATATCGATGAATTTGTTCAGTTTTTATTGATATCATTTGCCGTATCTGTTGATGATTACAATGAATATCACGAAAGTTTTTTTTTTTGAACAATAAATACACTACGAATATAAACAAGTATTATCGTTGAACATTGATTTCCATGATTTATATCAAGCTGAATGAATAACGGTTGGTTTGTTTTATTTAAAGAAAAGATTAGTCAACAAATTGATCCTTTCCAATTATGTTGACGTATATCATTTGTTTAATATAATGTATAAGTAACTAATGTCGAATAAATATTAGTTAAGATATAAATAAAAAGAAAAACGAACTTAAAAAGCATTTTATTCAAATTAAAATTATAAAAGAAAGGAATATATTTAGTTGAACTATGATTCATAACAACAAAAAAATTTTTTTTTTCATAGCAAATTTTCTTAAATATGAATTTTAATTATGTTAAAAATCATAAATGAATATTGAAATAAATAAGTAGCAAATTTTTATATCTCTTCATCAAACAAAGCTAATTAAGAGGTAGAACGAAAATTTCTCGACAAAAAAATTTATTTATTGGTTGCGTCTTTGAATGCATTAGTAGTGTATTAAAATCAGAATATATGTACTTCGAGTTTTTCTGTGACGATTGAGCTATGAGTAAATCTTGACAAGATTCAACAAGATTTTCTAACGAGACAAAAATCTAATTTTTCTGGAAACAACACTGTTTCCCGTAGACATTAAATAAGTTCTGTGAAAATATAGTAGTTGAAGGTGATCTCTACTCGATAAAATAATGCCAGAATCGAGATTTTTTATTAAAGTCGGTTAGACCTAGGTCTGAAAATTTGAGATAAGACTAGTTCTAGTTTTGGTTAATCCGCTCAAAGATAGCAGAGTTGTGACAGACGATCATTTCGCGCTGAAAAGAAGAAAATCATCCGAATACACTTTATAAAAACCTTTACTGCACCGTAATCGTTTGCAAAAAACTTTTATTCAAATACACTGCTTTGTAGAAAATTACTTTCTGCATCATCCAACATATTCAATGAAATTTTGCAGCGTGTCTCAAGCAAGTTTGATTTGGAATTTTTTTTCTCCAAAAAAAAAATATGTGTGAGTCTTTTCCAAATTCACTTATAGGTCGAATGTTTCAGAAAAGTTCCAAGTATATGTTTTAAAAGAGCACAAGCCTCTAATTCTAATACACTATTAATGTAATTAAACACACGACAAATAATCAAATGTTTTGTCGAGAAACTTTTGATTCACTCTCTTCGTTTTCATTATGACAAACAACAATATGTTTGTAGTTACACATTGAACTCTTTATTGATTATTAGAAATCGTATTGTACTTCTAAACATCATACAATCGTAGTCTATAGAATATATAATGATAAAACATATCATTCATGAATGTGTATTAATCAATAATTTAGATACACATTTTGGTTTCAATCCTAAAAATGCAAAGAATAATGCCTCGTTAATCAAATAGAAACAATCATTTAATCAAACTTGCATTTTATTTTCAAAATTCGAATGAAACCTTGAAAAAAAAACAGGTAGATTTTATATTAAACTTTACCATAGAAATCTTCTGAATCCATGTAAATAATTAATTTGATATTTTAAACGATTTCCGATAATTTAATTCTTTGATACACAATAAATAAATATCATTTACTTAGCGTTAGTTAAATATTTATCAATCCTTCACTTCTATTCTTTTTTTCCTAACATATACTTCAAAAACAGATTTCAGAATTGATATTAGAAGGTCACAATATTCTTAAGGACAAATAAAAGCAAGTGATCGAAATTATGAGAAAAGAACGACAGTAAACAACAAGCATATTTTTGTTTTGTATATACAATAGTATATTTATTAATTGCAAATGTTTAACTTACATATTGGCAATTACACAGATTGTTATTAAACTATTTCTATTTATAATATATATAATTATAGTCTAAAATGAGTAATCATTTATTACAATGAAAATTACAATTACAAATTGTAAATTAAGACCTTATAACTTGAAAAAACAAAAGATAAGATATTATGTATTATTTAACAAATCTATCTTCACTTGTTTGATGAACAACTAGACATGATTTTACCTTACTGTTAAAAACTGAAAATAAAATAAAACAAAATAAACTTTGCTTATTTCAACAACTGTTGCATCATGTATACAATTAATTGACTAGTCTCTTCTTCTTCTTCTCGCAAATCATCTGTTATTGTTATTTGTGTACGTTGTCGTCGTTTGGAGAAAGAGAGAGAGAGAGAAAGAAAGGAATAGATCACTTTGTATTTAGCCAGGCATTAGATGAGAAGAGAGCGAAAGAGGGGAGGAGGGAAAAATAGACTCTATTTGCAATTTCGTCGTTGTCTCCCGTGTACGAAAGAGCGTGCGTGAGCGTACGCACATATATGCAAACCCTATGCAACTCGAAGAAAATGAAACCTTTTCCTTTACACTCTTTCTCTTTAACATGTGACGAAGAAAGACAGTAATACAGATGTGCTCTTTTGTCATCATCACGTTTGACATACCAGGTGGTCCAATTCAAGAATAAAAGGAAAGGTAATATTTCACTTTTCTGTAGATTTAGATAATGAAAAAAAAAAAGCAAAATAAATAATAAGGAAATAAAATAGAAAAGCGCATAAAGTTTAACATTTTAAGTTTTGTTGAATAATGAAAAGAATCCGATATATCAACTATCGAATATTGTTCAAACAGATTCAATGTCATGTTGTTTAGTCAGTTTTAAAAAATCCGAAGTTAATACATTATTTTTAATCATATAATATTAATCAAAAATTTTTTTTATAGTCAATCATCTATTCCTTTCATACAATTAAATGAAAGGTAATATAACAGTAGAAACTTAATGCCAAATATAGAACCTTAATAAAAACTATAATAAATAATCGAACTAATTCAAATAGAATATGGAAACATAAGGAAAATATTCTTATGTTTGCCTTATTCGTATTGTATGCTTATCTAGGCATGTATACTTCCCGGAAAAAGAAATGTCGCCTTCTCTTTGAATACTAACATAGAAAAAAAAAAGGAATGTATAGTATATGTTTCTTTTTTTCCTTGTTACTAAATAGTGTGCATAAATTGTATAGCCGTGTCGATACAATATATCGTTTCACCTATATGTGATCTATTCTGCATCTATCTCTGTACCTCTCTTATTGTTCTATTTCTCTTTTCGTAGTCATTCACTCGCTTTAATCACATCTTGATGTGAAAATGTTTGCATATTATATATGTGCATACACATACTCAACCCGATTATCACTACTATAACTTCAATGACTAAAGCATATAAACGTATTTCAACTTCATGTTTGTGACGCTCATTTATTTTTCATTAGAGTTTTTTCGATTTCATTTTATTCCTCATTCACATACCCTTTGATTCAATTCAGCAAGCGCCTTCATCGAGAAACACGCTAGCATTCTCGTTCTTTTTTCTTTTCTTCTGTCGTTTTTTTTTTCTTCTTCTTCATCTTTATGTCTTTTCCTCTTTTCATTCATATTAAACTACGTTTATGTGTTGAACTTTACTTTTTTTTTGTAATATTATATTTTATATATATTGCACATTTAATGTGCAACGAAGCGCATTCCTTTAAGAATATCGACGACTTTTATATTTGACTTGATAAATCATTTAGTAAAAATTTGAATAAAAAAAAATTCAACAATGATTACTATGGTAGTTAGTAATGATAATGATCATGAAATTGAAAATATTGAATTAACATATTGGCTTTACTATATGATGGTTTATTATGTATTACAAGTTATTTGTATTATTACCGTACGTATAAAGAAAAAGAATTATAATTTTTTCAAGTATATGGAAAATACACATATTTCAATTAATATATATTATTATGTGTTTGCAATCGTGTTTGCTTTTGACGACACTCATAGATACATGATTATGATAGTTGTATGGTTGTTAACTGATAATAATGCGTTCTTCTTCAAACTATTCGTTTCGATAGTAGATATGTTGTTTTTTTTTCTTGTTGATAATAATGATGCGCAAACTAATGCAAAGAGGCTAGATGTTTATTGTCTGTATCGTCGTCGTCGTCGTCGTCGTCATTTAGTAAGTACAGAAAAAAAACGCGAGAATCCAGTAGACGCATAAGAAAAGAGGAAAAAAGAAAGACGAATGGAGAGAAAGAAAGAAAAAAAATCAAGGCTATTCTCTTACAGTAGACGGCAAGACGAATGTTACGCGCACGTTTAG